AAATTTTTATTTGCATATTTTTAAAATTTTTAAAAAATTTTCAGTGTAGGGAGCTCCATCTCCAAAATTGGGAATGGAAACGAGATAACTCTTCCCATCCCTGTCCGCTTCATTGCTATTCCTACTCTCCCTCGAATTTGATCATTTAAATTGCAAGAAAACAAAAATATAGGTCTGCATTGAACTGGAACTGAGATCTGACCAGGTTACACTGTACAGGCAGGTTAAAGGTCTAAGTCCTCATCTAAAGCATGCCGATTACCAGGTTACAATGTACAGTTTTGTTTCTGGATGTTCAAATTTGACTTCTAGAAATATTGCTTATCCACCGGCGTTGTTATTATCACACAAAAAAACTGTGTTTTCACGGCACAAACTTGTAGTGTGTCTGATATAATTAATTTTATTAATTTATATATATTTTTTAAAATATATACTTAATGTAATATTTAAAAATATCTATTTATAAATTAATTTAACATATTAAGTAATAATTTCGTTTCAAAAAAAAAAATCTCTTAATTTAGGATTTGACTCAAAATAAAATAATAGTCATTTTTTTATATTTTAAGAAAGTTAAATATATATTTTTTATTTTAATTTTATAATTATTTTTTAATTTTAATTATTTATCTTATCATAAAAAAATTCTTTATTTTCATTATTTTTTTAAGGATATAAAATAACTAAAAATAAAAATTATTTTTAAATATTTAATTCTAAGATAAAAATAAAAATTTTATATTATAATTAAATAAAAAATAAAAAAATATTAATTATTCTATTAATAATAATTACCAACTGTTCCTACGGCGCAAGACAAACAAGGACTGATAACCATGTCCTTATTTTGCTCCTCCATCGTCCTTTCAGAGACTCTGTTTCTTTTCCAACATCCAACTATTCCAGCACATGCCCATGTTCCCATTTCAGTCTCTCTTGACCGTTGAGCAATTTCCACATAAATATCACGTGTGCTTTAATAAATTTCCAATGTCCTTAATTAACCATCAACAAGCTGATCCCTTTATTCAGTTGAAAATCTTTTGTGTTTATACACAAATTAAGAATCTCATCGCATGCGTATGCTGACTTTTTGGCAGCATGAACAATGCATTTACAAAAGTTTTATGTTCGGCATTTGAATTCTTCACAGTGATATGTTTTGTTATAGTTCATCGCCTCTTTCATCTAAACACAGGTTTTCTGCTCCAGGACAATGAACCTCAGTCTTAATCATCATAGTAACAGACATTTATTTCCCTTGGATAAGAAACAACCAATTTTTTCTTTGCTTCTGTCTTATCATGGTTGGCACCGATTTAACTATACGTACTACGGACACCAAACAGTTCCTGCAAGCAGCAGCATTAATATATTTCTTTTTTAAAAAAACAAATTAATATATAGAATTAGTGTTTATATATTTTATTTTTAAAAATTTATTTAAAAATAAATAAAAATTACTTTAATGCATGCTTTAAAATAGAGTAATTTAATTTCTTTCATTAAAAATTTATTAAAAAGTTTTGAGATAATTTTCTTCTTAATTTTTTAAGAGATAAGTCCGATAGTCACTATTTTCTTAAGATATATCTACATTCAACAATATTAATATATATCTACACAGGTAATTTTAATATAATAATTTTATTTGATTAAAAAAATTAACTATTATTCTTATTATATATAAAAATTTCAAATAAAATTACATATAAAAAGATCAAATGATTTATATTTTAAAATAAATATATAACAATTATAGTTATTAATTATTTCTAATGGTAAAACTAAATAGAGTTAATCTTCTTATTATTAGTCCGTGTGATTCAGTGTACTAAATTATCCCATGTGCTGGTTTCAAAGTTTCCCAACCTGCATGACAAAATAATTAGACCATGTTTTGCAACCTTTTGCGTTTGCCGAAAGAAGAGACATAATGCTTGACCTCCTATTCCTATATATGTATGGACATTGTTGGTTACCCTTCTAACATCAATTTTCTGCTTTGGTTTCTATACTTGTTCCTTTTTCTCTATTTTTGCTAAGATGACTAAGAATCAAGACAAGGGAAGGAGAAGAGCACCAAAGGGGCATTTTGTAGTGTACGTGGGGGATGAACTAAGGAGATATGTGGTTCCCTTGGCTTTCCTCAAGAACTCCAGTTTCCAGCAGCTGTTGGAGAAAGCTGCGGAGGAGTTTGGGTTCGATAGCCAGAATGCCATTGTTTTGTCTTGTGATGAGTCTACAATTCAACAAGTGCTAGCTGCTTCATCATCATGATGACCAAATTGGAGCTCCACGTTCATTTTTTATAGGCAATAAATTGATTTAATTATGTGAGTATAAAGAGATACCTACAATAAGCTTCATGTGTTTTTATGACCATTGGAATAAAGTTTACGTCCAAATATTTTTATTCTCATTTCGATTACTTCAAACCACTAATTATTAATTATTATTTTCAAATATCTATACCAAACACTTTAATATTCAAAATTAATTGAACGTTGCATTAGTTTAAGAAATAATAGATATATAGCTCATTAATACATTTTTTGGATATGGTTATGACTACATGAGATTTTGTTAGGTCACTTATTTTAATTTTAATTTTATTAATTTATAATTTTTTTTAAATAGTTAATTATGATATTTAAAAATATTTATTTAAAAATTAATTTTTATTTATTAAATAATAAATATTAACTATTTTTATCAATTATCAACTATTTTAAATAATTAAATTAAAATAAAAATTTAACTATTGATATGATTCTAACAAATTTAAAGGTGGTTATCATGATTCAATAGAAGTGTTTTCGTCATTTCTACATCAAGTTCATATTATTAACTGTAGCTAGCTAGGGCTAGCTGCAAAATGCATTTTTGATCGAAAAGTATTTAGAAAAATCATGCAAAAATATCAATGAACTATAAAAATCAGTAAAAGTACTCATTGTGATTAACTTAAATGGTTGAAATGTGACTGGAACAATTTTAAGAATATGTGAATTCCTCACACGCCATCTAAATGTAAACGAGTTTAATTGAAGTAGTTTAAGGATGTGTTTAGGATTGAGGTTGATAGCTTTTTGGTGTAGCTGTATAATACTTTTAGATGTTAACGATTTATTGGTCTAAGTAAAAAAAGTTTAGTTTTCCTTAAATAAGGTTTTTAGTTCGAGTCTTGTGAATGAAGAAACAGACGCTGAGAGAATTTCTCCCTTATGAGGTCCAATATGACTCGATTCCGAATTAGTTGAAATCCAATGTGATTATCGAATACTGAGAAGTTAATATAAAAAAGACAATGCTTTTAGATATTTGTGCATTTGATAATTTTTTTTTAGATTGCTTTTTTTAAGTCAAAAAAGTCACAGTAGATTTACAATAATTTTATATATAAAGTCAGGAGTATCAATTTGAAGCTT